TCACAAGAAATACAAGACCCAAACCCAGGTTCCATGGTGCACAGGACTGTGTTTTTCATTTATTTTTTGCAAATAGGCATAATATCATTTAGATAAATACTCCAAACTATACTTAAATTTCTTTTAAAACTAGAAGATATATCATTGTCTCTCTGCACTTTGTAAATTTCTATTTTATAAACTAATAAATGAAATATTGTTTAAATATACGATGCGATGTTCTTGGCAATCCAAGAGAAACTCCAGGCTCTGCTCATGAGCCGTCTGCAGAGGTGTGTGAGAGAACACAACTTTTCAGGATAATCAACACTGAGGCAAAGAACTCAGGTTTGAAATGATGACAATTGCTAGATGAAATGTTCAAATTTATATCCCCACATTTAGCTCAGAAATTTGATCCCAAAGCCATAGATTGCAGATCGATAATGGTTATAAAGTTAATTCTAATGAAGTGTCTTCAATAAGAGAAATGTGTGTCTCTCTCTGTCAGGCCACAGAAAGCTTGATAAGATAAGGTTACAAAGGGGTAAAGTCATACGCACTGCAGCTTTAAGTGTTCAAATGCAGCTCATCTAGAGCTGTCCCGACTCTACAGGTAAAGACAGCTCGACCATTAAAAACATGCTGCAAATTAATATAACAATACCTCTTCAACTCATCTGTGGTGAGTTCTAGCTATAGACTTCATCTCAGGAAGGCTCTGGTACTTTATAAAATCCAGCTCTCCTTCCTCTGGCTTTTATGAAACTGATTCACAGCAGCAGAGTGATAGCATTACACAGCAAAAAAGGAGAACCAGCAAGCTAGGCGTAAGCCGAAAGCTAAAGCTTCCCCCCACCCCCCGGAAAACATGAAATCTCCACAGAGAAAATTTCCAAGCTAATTTAAGTTCACATCTAGAGAACATAAAGATGAAATATTTTTAAGATTTTTTGGAGACTTCAGACTCACTCCGTAAAGGCAGCAATTGGCAGAAATATATTATTCAGTGGGTAAAGTATTTGATTAGAGAAGCAAGCACGTTCTCGGGGATTCTATGTTGGAAAAGAGATGCTGCGCCAGAGGATGTGCTTTAATTAAAAAACAATAGCAGCGTACACAGGTGACCCAGTTGTCCTGATTAAGAAAAGAGTGCTTCTCTCCTGGGGACGTTCTGATGTGGCTTTCAACGACTAAAGCGGATAAACAGGCACGGCCTGCCTGTGAAGTTTGACACCCGAAGCCCAAGAAGAAATAAGTGCTCTGGCTCTCTGTTCGCTCGTATTCTCCTTTCCAGCAGAAAGTGTTCTGGGCTTCCTGCATCAACCACCCCTTTACTAACTAGAAAAGGACAGTTCCTAAGTAAGCATTCATTAGGTTCTAGACGCATAACCCAGTCAACAGGATGGAATTCACACCACAGCAGACTGCTGGGATCTCATCATAGGCAAATGCCACCTACCAAGTGGGCAATGTGGTTCCCTTCTTCCATCCCTCCCTCCTTCCCTTCCTGCTTTCCCTACTCGCTTCCCTCTTCCTCCCTTCTTTCCAGAGCCTCTTGCTGCCGTTATTCATATATATATATATAAATCTTAAGAGAAAAAAGGAAGTAGAAAAGGGATAAAATACCTGATTCATCTTAAAAATATACATCTTCATTTTTGACCCAATAAATGAAACTCTTATGCAAATGTTGTATTTTCATTTTCATTACACAGACTCTCAAATTCTTCACAGTGCTTCTCTCTTAACACGGGTTAACGTTCTCATTCGCCCTAGTAAAGGAATGAAGAAATACAAAAGTATTCTTCCATTCTCCAAAAGGCAACTCAAAACAGACAGTATATCTTATGCAACAATTCAGGGCTAATTTCATTATAACTCTTCTACTTAAATCTTACGTGTAGCTTCCCTCTTCAAAATAAACCACGGAAGTGCTGTAGTAAACTCAGTGCCAGACCCACCGGATGGTAAAGTCAGATACCCCTTCTCCATCACTTTCTCTACCGCTAGTATGTTACAGTTCCATAGCTATGCTGTCACCAGGAAAGGAACTACGCAAAACATTTCTTTATATGAAAAAACATTAAGGAGGTAAGTTTCCTTCAAAAACTCAAAAGAGAAGAGGAAAGAAAAATAGCTGCTATCTCCCTTTTGAAAAATAAGAGGGAAACTGAGTGATAAGTTTGACCTTCAAGTCACCTTCGGGAGAAATACACAAATGAAAGAACAAGGTACAAAGTAGAAGACTGAGGAAGACTGCAGTGGTACTGAAGCCATAATTTTTTAAAACCATTAGCACATTTTTTCCCCCCTTAACAGAGAGGCTTCTGAGTCCCTGCATCATCCCTTAAGGCCCAGGTTAACCAACAGTTCAGGTGACATTGGAGCTAAGACATGAAGCGATCAGCACCAGGTTTAGCCTCAGTAATCAGCCACGGCTTTGTTGGCGAGCAGCACTTTCCCTTTCTGTAACTGGCTGGATGTTTAACAGTTCTTGAGCTAGTTTAGACATGGGGCAAAACAGGCTGATTGTGAAAGTAAACATGTATTTCCTTGTAAATGTCTCTGCAGAGTCATCTCATTGCCAAAGCCCCACAGAAAACTCGCAGCTGAAGCTGTCTCTTACCCATGTGCTATCACTGCAGAGAGCTCTTCCCGTGCGTGCGCAGCAAGGCACTGTTGGCTGCTTTACATACCTTATTAAAAGCAGGCAGTACCCCAGCACAAATGCTAAGATTTTAAGCATTGTTAAGATTCAGCCATAGATTCAGCCATCTCTAGATGGCACCCCGCTGAGGTCCTACCCTTCTAGCCCACATCTGACAGACCCACGGAGTTTTCACTTTCATTTATTTTCCCACGGGAAGTCGACAAATCTTGGTTTTACCGTATTCACAAGTTGGTTCTGCCACTTTGTGGCCTGACACTCTTTTGGGCTTGAGCCTGGACGCTGCCTGCTTGAGCACTAACTAACGCTCAGCAGATCAGATCAGCCTCATGCCCAGCCCCCTCGCCCTCCACCTCCACAGCCCGCAATGCTGCAGTTTTTCACATCCGAGGACCAAAAGTAGCTCCTCAAATGAACCCTTTAACCCTTTTTAAAAATCTCACTTCTACCTTAAAAGGCATGACGTGACAGCTTGTAAAACTACAAAATCAAAGCCTAGGAGAGAAAGCCATCAGTAATTACTTACTGGCTAACACAACCCCGTCACATAATGATGCAGAGAATCTATGCTGAAAAAGAAGGTATTTCGGTCTGCTTCCAAGCGCCGATTTATCCCTGCCCACAGCAAGCATTTCACATCTGCCACTCTGGCCTGTGTCGTCCCCACCCCCCAGCTCTGGCATTAGAACTGCATTCCATTCTTCACTGTGTCTGGCAGGACTCAGAACTTTTTCACTCTGAATTTTCCCAAACTGTCATCCAGAATAGAAGGGCATTTTCAGTTAAAATTATACAAGCAAAGGAAACCCTCTGTAGCGTGTTTGTTTAAATAAACATGCTCAAAGGATGGTTGATCTATTCCAAATCAGTCATCAAAATCTACATGAGGAAAAAATGTTGTGTTTTTTTAAGGGAGGGGGACACCTGGTTTGTTCAAGGCTGAGATGCGTCTGTCCAGCTACCTTTCAATTAATTTAAAACTAATTCAGTTACCCTGTCAGTTATTACAGTACACACAAGTAGTAACCAGACAGAAAGATGACTAAGCATCTTTCAAACTTATCCTGCACTCTGTCTCCCCGGATTTTTCATCTCGGATTTCAAATTCCCCTTCCCAATGAACAGTTGACCTTCAAATTTTAGGCCTCGTGTCTCCTTCTTCCCTAGCATCCATCATTTTTGTTGGTAAAGTCAAACTGGGTTTCAAGTCTCTATTTCCCTTAACTGAGTTTAATGAATTTTAGTTGTTTTCAAAATCTGCAGTCTGCTCATTGTGCCAACTCGGCACTACAGCGAAGTCTTAGCGTGGGGGTTCCAGCTTGGTTCCCACAAACAAACAGTCACTACAGATAGGTTTAATAGTGTCCACCGGGGGGGCGGGGGGAAGAAGAGCCAGAAGCGACCCTCCTTTGGGCTCCGCAGGCTAACCAGCAGAGTCCCGGGGGCCAGCCTAGGCGCTGTCCTTGGTTCTGCCGAATCCTAGGGCGCCCCTACGCCTTACCTGCCGGCTGCCGACCGTTAGACAACCACATCCCGCTTTTTAACACCAATGACCACCCCGGGCCTGTCCTCTTTGTCCCCTTCCCGGAGGTTTCAGGCGGGCCATTTCTCAAAAACTCTCTCTCTTTATTTTCTTCTGCATTAACTCTCAGCTCCTCTCCAGCTGCTTTAAGACGAGGAGGAGAAAGAGGAGAGGGCGGACAAGGAAGAAGATGGGTGGGGAAAGAAAAAGGAGAGAGTGTGTGGGAGGGGTGGGAGATGAGGTGAAAAGCTAGGCTGCAAAGGAAAAAAAAAAAAGTCCCAGGGGAAAGGGCTTCAAGAGAAATGCCTGGGGAGAACAAAGGGGGGGGGGGGGGGGGGGGAGGGGAGGGAGGAGAGGGGGGGGGGGGGGGGGATCATAAAGTACAGCAGAGCCTAGGACCAAAAGTAAGAAAGAAAGAGACTTCTAGGTAGGGGGCCAAAGAAGAGCCAGGAAGCTGGAGAAGAGCTGCCCAAAGGGGCCGCGGGCGGCTAAACAAAGAAAGGACGCCGGGGAAGGGCACTTGCTCCAAAGCTGTGAGCCGCAGGCTGCAGGTGAAAAGCAGAGAAAGGACATCTGCCGGGTCACAAGTGGTCCTGGACCCGAGGGGACGCAGAGGAAGGGCCGGCCCGGCAACACCAAAGTGCGGGGTCCGGTGTGGCGAGGGCCCACGTGGAACTCGGAGCGGCCGCTGAATCACCGCAGGGCTCCTCTTCCCCCCCTCCCCCCCTCCCCCCCTTCCCCCACCCCCGGCCCGGTGCCCGCAGTCCCCGCCTCCTCGACCGCCGCCTCCACGGGGCGGGGCCCTGGCCCGGGACCAGCCGCTCCGCTATAAAGGGGCTGCGGCGAGGCCGGCAGAACGCTGTGACAGCCACACACCCCAAAGGCCTCCAAGATGAGCTACGCGCTGGACCCGCTGGGCAACCCGTCCGCCTACCGGCGGGTCACCGAGACCCGCTCCACCTTCAGCCGCGTGAGCGGCTCCCCGTCCAGCGGCTTCCGCTCGCAGTCGTGGTCCCGCGGCTCGCCCAGCACCGTGTCCTCGTCCTACAAGCGCAGCGCGCTCGCCCCGCGCCTCGCCTACAGCTCGGCGATGCTCAGCTCGGCCGAGAGCAGCCTCGATTTCAGCCAGTCCTCGTCGCTGCTCAACGGCGGAGGCTCGGGCGGCGACTACAAGCTGGCCCGCTCCAACGAGAAGGAGCAGCTGCAGGGCCTGAACGACCGCTTCGCCGGCTACATCGAGAAAGTGCACTACCTGGAGCAGCAGAACAAGGAGATCGAGGCGGAGATCCACGCGCTGCGCCAGAAGCAGGCCTCGCACGCCCAGCTGGGCGACGCTTACGACCAGGAGATCCGCGAGCTGCGCGCCACCCTCGAGATGGTGAACCACGAGAAGGCTCAGGTGCAGCTGGACTCCGACCACCTGGAGGAGGACATCCACCGGCTCAAGGAGCGCTTCGAGGAGGAGGCGCGCCTGCGAGACGACACCGAGGCCGCCATCCGCGCGCTGCGCAAAGACATCGAGGAGTCGTCGATGGTGAAGGTGGAGCTGGACAAGAAGGTGCAGTCGCTGCAGGATGAGGTGGCCTTCCTGCGGAGCAACCACGAGGAGGAGGTGGCCGACCTGCTGGCTCAGATCCAGGCGTCGCACATCACGGTGGAGCGCAAAGACTACCTGAAGACCGACATCTCCACGGCGCTGAAGGAGATCCGCTCTCAGCTCGAGTGTCACTCCGACCAGAACATGCACCAGGCCGAGGAGTGGTTCAAATGCCGCTACGCCAAGCTCACCGAGGCGGCCGAGCAGAACAAGGAGGCCATCCGCTCCGCCAAGGAAGAGATCGCCGAGTACCGGCGCCAGCTGCAATCCAAGAGCATCGAGCTCGAGTCGGTGCGAGGCACCAAGGAGTCCCTGGAGCGCCAGCTCAGCGACATCGAGGAGCGCCACAACCACGACCTCAGCAGCTACCAGGTAGGAACCGCGGCTGCGCGGCCGGCCTGCGCCAGCGCCAGCGCCGCGCGCCCCCGACGCGACACCCGAGCGCGCGCCCGGAGGCCCTCTTGGTCGCGCACCCTGGTGGCCGCCTGCCAAAGCGCACTGGCGCAGCGGACCCGAGTCAGTCCTAGCCCGGGGTCCTGGCCCCGCCCCTCCTCATTGCCCCACCCATCCGCCGCAACTACTTAGAAATGCCAGCTCCTTCAAAAACTTGCTCTCCCAAGGGGAGAGCCCACTGTCAAAGTAGGAGGCACACACGGGTGATCGAGAAGTACATCGTTTAATGAGCAGAAGCACGGAGAGCCTCTGGTGTTCCCCCTCCCCCACCAGGCCCCGCCCTGCCCCACCCCCTCCGCCCCTGCGCAGCCCTGAGTTCTCAAAACTGGCCGCAGTACCGAGTTTGGGTCGGGGGATAGATCGCCAGGTCCGCCGGTGACCTTCCTCAGAGTCCCGGGCGTTCCCCTTCTGGAGGGCGATCTAGGCTTTACCGATCTCCGGGTGTGTTGTGCCTGGGAAATGTGCGGTTGTTTTTTGTTACTTTGTTTGGATTCCATTACCAAAGAAAGCGGGGGTGGGAGGAGGGAGCTAGGAGTGGTATCTTCTAGGCTTATGGAGCTGGGGAGGGAGGGGGCGGGAGATGGGCTTGGGGAGGAGGGGATAGCGAGTGTCTTGTGAAGGAAGTTTCTGGAGACTCCCTGTGCCTTTCAGGACACCATCCAGCAGTTGGAAAATGAACTTCGGGGAACGAAGTGGGAAATGGCTCGTCATTTGCGAGAATACCAGGATCTCCTCAACGTCAAGATGGCCCTGGACATCGAGATCGCCGCATACAGGTACAGGATCTCTGCAGACTTGGTTCAGGCGCAGTGCAATCCGCACTGCAGAGGCCGCTGGCGAAACCCTTCCCCGCTTAGGCCAAAGCTGGCAGGTTGCAACAGTCTCGGCTCAAAGAGGCCTGGTTCTCCTGCTCAGTTAAAAACAAGTTGAATCCTAAGTATTGCAGATACATTTTTACCACTTTTATTCAGCTTTAAAGAGTGTATGTGGGAGGATCCTGGAAAGAGGAAGAACTGGGGGAAGGGAAAAGAATACAGTCAAAATACATTATATGAAAAAAGCCCAAAAATGCACACACAAAAAGTGGAAAAGGGGTCTTTTTGAGGTGCTGGGGACACACCAACAGGCTCAAACACTGAAAGTGCCTTTGTGTGTCTGACAGGCAGATGAAGTTTTAATTTTTAATGCTTCATCTGATGGTTCTAACTCTTTTGTAATGTCAAGGACAAACACCAGGTCATTCTACTTCTGTCTCTCTCTTATAGCTTACTGTTGCCATCATCTGGCTGAGACTAGATATAGACGCAGTAGAATATAAACACACTTATCTTCAGTCTGTAGATGATCTGCGTGCACTCTGAATATGTATGTGAACGTAATATATATTTATATATGTAGAGTGGGATGTACATTCATGTAGCTAGGTCTATACAAACATGAATGTCTAGAAACATATAGAACTAAATGTATAGGGAAATTAGGTTTGGTCTCTTTATCAGGTGGCTGGCTCTAGGCCTCCTGAGTGATGCTGTCTTTCTGTTGGCCGGATTCAAAGCACACCGTTCTTGACAAAGCAATCATTTCCTATAAGGATGGTACAGCAAGAATAAACTGCACCTTCTTTTTTTTAAAGAAAGCCAGATGATCGTACAAATAGATATGCTGTCACTGAAATCATAAAACAAATTAGAACTTGGTTCACCTAGATTAGCATCTAGGTGTAATTTAAATTCATCAACACTCTGACCCATGCTCAATAGCTTTCATTTTTAGCATGGACATTTTATTTGCTTTAAAAATTCATACAAATCTTAACAATTCAAATGATGAGGGAGGCCGCCCTTTGGGGGATGGAGGGGGCTGGCCACAAGGGGCATTTTTAGCACATTCCTAACACACCGATGACGTGCCTGCTGCAGAGTGGGACTTGCTGCCTGGGTGTGGTTAGTTGTCTATTGGGAGTGGCTAGATGTTGCAGCAGAGGACTGGCTGGCACACTTGGAGAATCCGCCACTGGATATGATAAACACGTCAATAAAGTGACAGTAGTCACTGCACTGGTAAACAGAATGTTTTTCTTGTGTGGTTTTTATTCATCAAAAGTGGCCACTTCATTAGCCTTATAGTAATGAAGATTAGAAGATCAGATGAGTCTTTAATGATTCCTCATCTTCTTTGATTATCTCCTTAGGAAACTCCTGGAGGGTGAAGAGACCAGATTTAGCACATTTTCAGGAAGCATCACTGGGCCTCTGTACACCCACCGACAGCCCTCTGTCACAATATCCAGTAAGATTCAGAAGACCAAAGTCGAGGCTCCCAAGCTCAAGGTCCAACACAAATTTGTGGAGGAGATCATAGAAGAAACTAAAGTGGAAGATGAGAAGTCAGAAATGGAAGATGCCCTCACAGCCATTGCAGAGGAGTTGGCAGCCTCTGCCAAAGAGGAAAAAGAAGAGAAAGAAGAAAAGGAAGAGGAACAGGAAGCTGAAAAGTCTCCTGTGAAGTCTCCTGAGGCTAAGGAAGAGGAGGAAGGGGAAAAAGAAGAAGAAGAAGGCCAGGAAGAAGAAGAGGAAGAAGACGAAGGTGCCAAGTCAGACCAGGCTGAAGAGGGGGGATCTGAGAAGGAAGGCTCCAGTGAAAAAGATGAAGGCGAGCAGGAAGAAGAAGGAGAAACTGAGGCAGAAGGTGAAGGAGAGGAAGCAGAAGCTAAGGAAGAAAAGAAAGCTGAGGGGAAAGTTGAGGAAGTGGCCGTCAAGGAGGAAATCAAGGTAGAGAAACCAGAGAAAGCAAAGTCCCCTGTGCCAAAATCACCAGTGGAAGAAGTGAAGCCAAAACCAGAAGCCAAAGCAAGCAAAGGTGAGCAGAAGGAGGAAGAGAAAGTTGAAGAAGAAAAGAAGGAAGTCATCAAGGAATCACCCAAGGAAGAGAAGGTAGAGAAAAAGGAGGAGAAGCCAAAAGATGTGCCGGATAAAAAGAAGGCCGAGTCCCCAGTGAAAGACAAAGCCGTGGAGGAGGTGATCACCATCACCAAGTCGGTAAAGGTGAGCCTGGAGAAGGACACCAAAGAGGAGAAGCCTCAGCAGCAGGAGAAGGTGAAGGAGAAGGCAGAGGAGGAGGGGGCCACTGAGGAGGAAGGGGGTGATCTAAGCCCACAGGAATCCAGGAAGGAAGACATAGCTATCAATGGGGAGGTGGAAGGAAAAGAGGAAGAAGAGCAGGAAACTCAGGAGAAGGGCAGTGGGAGGGAGGAGGAGAAAGGGGTGGTCACTAATGGCTTAGATGTGAGCCCAGCAGATGAAAAGAAAGGGGATGATAGAAGTGAGGACAAAGTGGTGGTGACCAAGAAGGTAGAAAAAATCACCAGCGAGGGCGGCGATGGTGCTACCAAATACATCACCAAATCTGTAACCGTCACTCAAAAGGTCGAAGAGCATGAGGAGACCTTTGAGGAGAAGCTAGTGTCAACCAAAAAGGTAGAAAAAGTCACTTCACACGCCATAGTCAAGGAGGTCACCCAGGGTGACTAAGATTTTGAGTCCATTGCAAAAGGTTAAGCCATACGACAATTTCAAAATGCATGTGATTGACAGCTTCAAAACAGAATGGGTTCTCCCATGAGGGGCTCCAGACATTGTATTTTCCTTTGTGCAATATGAGGGAACTGCATGCAAGCTCAGGGTGCCCCCTCCTCAGTCCTTGGGGGATTCAAATGCATGATCGTGTATGTACCTGGGGAATTTGCCAGTTTCCTAAGCTGTTGGAAGAGGGGCACTGGGGGATGTCTTGAGATGTATTATGCAAAGTACCAACTGAGCCAAAAAAATAATAAGTGAAACAGAACTCTCTTAGCCTTAAGAAAGCTATATATGAATACTTACGTTTACCTCACTGGTGCATTTAAAAATGGACTTCTGTTCATGGGAGAACCTTGCTGACCTGCACAGTTTGCAAACTTATGTTGATTGATGTTAAACGTCACAGCAGTCCTCGCTCAATAAAGGTCATCCTGGAAACATAAGTCAAATGTGTGGTGATACGTTTTTTCACAGTGAAGTATCTGTTGCCAGGAGCTGCCTTCCCCCAGAACACATTTCAGTGGGAAGACATTCTTAGTGGCCAGCTCATCTCAGTTCCTCAGAGAGAATCTAATGGGAAAACAAATTGTGTTAAGATGTTTTCATGTGTTGACACGTTTATTTAGCCCAAGCTTCACCCGAAAACTTTAAAACTGTAGCTCTGAAATAAAAAATAAAATCGTCGTGGGTAAATAAAAGAAGATTTTGTGAGAAAAGTCTTCGATCTCTAGATGTTTCCATCCTGAGGACCATAGGAGGGGTAATAATGGGCTTATGACAAGTACCCTGGAATTGAGTCACAACCAGGAAAGTCAAGTGTTAAAAAAATGTGTGGTTTAAATAGTCAAGAAATATCTACTCTGGTTAGGTGCTTTCCATCACTGATTCTCAATTTGGTTGAAAAGGGTTTATACTGTTAGTTTGTATTAGCTGGGAAAATACTTAAAGTAAATAAAATATTATTATTGGATTTATTTTTTTAAAAAATGAGCCTTTGACTTAGGTAGTAAGCAGATTTATGGAGAAAGTCCTGGTCTTGATCAAGGGAAAATAATACTATTTCCTTTCCAAAGCTATTTGCCTTAGACATTTACACCCATGTATAAATTAATTAGCATATTATTTTTTCCAAGTCTTTATTTTTTCTTGTCATTGAGACCAGTCCAAGGATATCCTCCTTTGATGTTCTTTTGAACGGTTTTTCAAGATACTCCATTTTGAAACTCTGAATGTACCCAGGGAAGCTCAGAGCCAATGGCAGGCTCATAGTGGTCTTTCCCCAGCCATTTGCCAGTGCTCAGTTTCTACAGAACCTGCATGTCACCTGCATACGTATTTATTTCTATCTTTTCTTTAAAACAACTCTTATGGCTTATGTTAAAACACCCATCTTTTTTCAGATGCAGCAATGTCCATGACACCCAACTTGAAACAAGGCTATTTAAATATAACCAGCCCAAAACTCAACTCTATGTAGAATTTAAAAATAAGATGAGCATACTGGAGGGATCCAGGATAACACCTGGAGAAAGGCATCAGCTGATGAAGCAGGTGCTGGGAAGGAGGAGCTGGGATAAAGGTCACGAGCTGTCCAAAGACTGTCAGCCCAGAACTATGTTCCTTTGACGAGAGTTCCAGAAAACAGCTTCATATTGGCCTCCCATCTCAGCCAATAACAGAAGAGGCATCCTGATTCCATTCCAAGGGGAGGGGGGAGGACAGGGCGGCTCCCCTTCCCCACGGCCTGGGAACCAATCAGAAGTAAGAAGTAAGTATCCCACTGCCCTGACAATTTTTCTACCACCACTTTTCTTTCCTAGGAATACTTCCATGCACTGGAAAAGACAGTCGCTATTTTGATCTCCTCACAAATAGTAAAACAACAGTCCTTTGATAATCCACGTTTCTAAATCAATAAATACTCTTACCTATAAGAGGTAAAAATGGAGGCTGGCTCTATACGAGCTAATCCACGTAAACTTTAAGTAGCTACTAAATAATTAAACATTATTATAAAAACAATCATTTGTTCTTAGAACAATCTCATCAAATAAAAGTACCAATGGAGGAAAAAGGAGGACCAGCACGGGTCTCTGGGTACAGAAACTTTTTTTTTTGTATTGTCATTTTGTTATCTTTTATTCTTTTGTTTGTTTGTTTGTTTGTTTGTTTGTAGCATGTACTATTTAAAAGTGGTATCAGTCAGCTGAACTCTCTCTGAGGCCAGAACTGTGTATTCACCCCACCAGCCTTGGCTATTCTCAGCCTCCTCGTTTTCTTTCTTAGGAACACTTCTGTGTGTGACAAAAGACAGAAAAACTATTCTGACCTCCTCACAAATAATAAAGCAGCATTCCTTTGGTAATCCACGTAAACATTTTTAAAACAATAAACGGCCTTGCCGATTTGTCCAGTAAACAAAATGTTTATTGACGATCCCTAGAGACAAACTGTTCCCTTCCGGAATTACTGGTTCTATTGAGAATGATAAACATTGCACTATAATTTAACGGAAAACAATCCAAAATTAGTGTGTCCAAATACATTCAGTGATGGTGAGAAAGAATACTCAAACCTCCAAGTGGTCAGGAAGCTAGAGGGTGATGTCTCTATAGTCTGTCTCTGGCTACAGGAACAACTAAGCTATTGAAAAAGAGTTGCTGTTTGGCCAGTAGATTGCTTTTGAGATACTGTTTATCTTATATATCAAAGTATCAAAGCTACTTAGTTCTCAAGCTTCTTAACTAAAAATAAATAAATAAATAAATAAATAAATAAATAAATAAATAAATAAATAAATAGATTTTCTTGAAAACCCCTCTCTGGTCAGCAGTTAGATCACAGAACTGGGGCTCCCAAGCACACACTGTGAATCCCGACAGGACACACACACCCCCAGATCAACCCATGGTGGACAACTCAGATTATAAGGATGTCCATCCGATTCCTTTGTTTCCTTTCAGAGGAGAGAGAGCAGAGTCATGTCATGTATCCTCCATTTAACATGCTTATCTCTAGGGCATCACTTACATGGTGAGGTGAGGCTCAAATACAAAACCGACTCCCTCTGCCACACAGCCACAGTGTACATAAACTCAGCAAGTGCTCTTCTAGTGGTAAACTTGCGTGTTTGATTTTTTTTTTAAGGAGTTATTTCTGGTGTGTTTTAGTCTGCTGCCAGTCAGTGCACAGACAGTATTAAAACATTCGGATAGTCGTTTCCACAACAAATAGGTTGCTAGTTCCAGTTTGGAACAAGTTCTTTTTCCTGGTGGTTTATATAACTTGCCCAGAAGTTATTTTTAAGTGAGTTATTTTATTAAGACTACACAAAATTCCTCCACTTCCAAGATCCCTCTGTCTTTAGAAGTGCAGAGGTTGGACAACACCGTCAGGTTAGAGTTCAGTGCAGCCACAGGCGGCACAACCTTGGGATCACGATTATTCTGTAAGTTTCCCCTTCTTGACCTGCAGGCTATGGAAGCTGAGGTCCTCCGCTGACATCTATGACAGATGCCAGACCATTCAGACCCCAAAGTCATTAAGTCCTTGCTTTGTCAACCTGACAACCTGAATTTCATCCCCGGATCCCACAGTGGAAGGACACAATCAACTCCAAAATGCTATCCTCAGACCCACACACAATGTGCTTGCCCATACCCAAACATGCTGTACATAGACACACACGCAAATAATAAAAGCAGAAAATTCTCAGCCTACAGCAGGCGCAAGTGTTAGTTCATATTCCATATTAAACAGGAACAAAGCAACAGATAAATGATTCACTTACTCTGAAGATAAGAAACCAATGAGTGCATTAATTTGCATATGTGACTTCAACGCAAATTAAATAGTATTAATAATTACATAAAATACGTGTTCAAGTGCACAGATAATTTCCAGCATCAAAGTTTGCCAGTGGTGGATGGGTGTGTGTTGTGTGGTGCATGTATGTGGGCATGTGGGTGTCCACATGCAAAGACCAGAGGGGGACTTCTGGCATCTTACTCCATCATTCACACCTCATTCATTGCCTTGAGGCAGGGGCTCTCCCTGACCGAGAAGCACACCAATGGTTAGTCCGACCTGGCTGGCCAGCCGTCTTTCAGGATCCACCGATCTCTGCCCCATCTCCCTCAGTACTGGAGTTACAGACATGTGTAGCCATGCCTGGTTGTTCTGTGGGTGCTTAGGATTTGAACTCAGGTACTCACGCTTGGGAAGTCACTGCTCTTACCTACCGAGCCATCTCCCCAACCATCAAAGCTCCTTGACATAGTTTTTTTTTTTTTTTTCCTATGAACAGATGGGTTTATTTAGCAGCAAGTTTGAAACTCTTGCCTTAAGCAAGGGTAATTATATCAGGAGCAGACAGTAATTAACATCAGGGACAGACACTTGTCTGCACAGTCCAATATACAGAAGTTCCTCAACGCCGATCAAAAAGAGAATTCGGCCCATGTTACTTTGATGTATCTGCTCAGTTAACCCAAGCTGCTTCTTCAGAGACTCTCAGGTAGAGTGAGGGAGCCTGAAGTAGACCTTTAGAGAGTCATAGATGGCCTACAGAACTTCATCATGGTGTATGGCTCTGTCTCATCCACAGAGGAGCAATGCCCTTGTAAAATGCACTTAAGCCCTTCTCTCTATACATTTTGAGGAACGGCTTTCCTCAATGCGTTAGCACGGCCAGGCTGGGATTGAATGAAAACTTTATAAGCTTCCATAGGAGCCAGGGCAATGTCAGCAAAAAACTCAGCACTGTCAGAAGCAGCCAAATATAGAACAGAGTGCCATAGATGGGTGTTTTCCTCACCAAGCATGTTGCTATATAAGACTTTGAAGACTTCATTAAAAAAAAAAAAAAAAAAAAAAAAAAAAAAAAACTTGCAGAGCCCTTTCATAAAATAACCAAAGTTGAGTCCATCTTTTAGCCAAAACACAAACACCACCTTTTCAGTGTAATAGAGAAACCATCAAACATGCCCTTGCACTTTTGAAGGTCCACCTGCATGCGGCATTTTACAAAATCCAAGGGAGCAACGGCAGTACCCCACGACCTATGACCCCACCAAAGCCACACGGTGCAGTAATACTCCATGGGGCCAAATTCAAAAGTGCACTCTTCCAAGGCAGTGGCAGCAGGTGGCAAGAGCAATGGGGCCAGCCAAGGGGAGGAGGGGCTGCCGGGGCCAGAGAGCCAGTCAGGCCTCAGCTGCAGGTGTGGAGCTTTGAAGAGGTTTGCCACTGCCTGGTAAGGCAAGGGTGAGACCATATCTTGCCTGATATGGAGAACACCCAACTGCTCACTATGCAGGGCTGCTTCTCACGGAGGTGGAATGGCTCCCTCCCCTTCGAAGACACAAATTATTTTCAACAATGTTGCACTGATGAACCGTGCCTTGCCCTTTCTGCAAAGCTTTATTCTGACCAAAGTTGCCTG